ACGCTTTATGGGCCTACCGGACTGCTTTTAAAACACCCATTGGTATGTCCCCATATAAGCTTGTTTTTGGTAAAGCTTGTCACCTTCCCTTGGAACTAGAACACAAAGCATATTGGGCCATCAAATAATTAAATATGTGCCCAGATATGGCTGCCAGTAAAAAAAAAAGTCCAGTTGTGTGAATTAGATGAACATAGGAATCTGTCCTATGAAAATGCCAAGATTTATAAAGATAAAACCAAAAAATGGCATGATAAAAGAATTCAGCACCGGGAGTTGAGAGCTGGTCAAAAGGCTCTTTTGTTTAACTCAAGGTTGAAACTGTTCCCGGGAAAGTTCAAGTCCCGTTGGTCTGGACCTTTCCTCATTCATAAAGTTTATCCATACGGAGCAGTTGACCTAATCAATCCCGAGGACAATTTTGTCTTCAAAGTTAATGGTCAAAGAGTGAAGTTATTTCATGATCCGATAGAAATTCCAGAGTTAGGCTCTGGGAATTTTGTTGCCCTTTGCTAAAAGCTTCGATATTTTTGGACTTTTTATAAGTCCAAAAATTTGTGTTTGTAAATATTTAAATTTATTTCTGTTTTAAAATTATTAATATCAATAATAATATTGGCGTTTATTTTTGTGTGTTTTGCAGTCTTGTCGATCTTCAAAAAGAATCTGAAGTCTTGCTGCAGCATCTGAAAACCCTGGCCTTACATGGAGAATCTTTTGAAAAATTTTGAAGTCTGAAAGTTTTTGAAGTAAAGTTGCATGAGGTCATCCTTAAAAATCTGTTTTTAAAGAAATGGCATCTTCTTTAAATGCCAGCCGAACTGTTGTACTTTGTGTAATAAGAAGAGTACATAGGTGGCATTGATAGGATTGTAGTAACCAACCCCTCAAACATCATTGGTCAAAAATTAATTAAAAATAAGACATGATTTGAAAGTTTGTGGTTGATGTGGAAGGAAAGCTTCATAGCCTAGTACTCAAGTACACTCAAGTAATGTATGTTTCCTATGCTGACATCACCACCCCTCACCTTTCTTCCCATTCTACCCTCATTTTTTTAGAAAACCCTTTTTTCTCTTCTCTTTTCCCTCCCATTTCTCTCCAACCGATCGACCGATAACCGTTCTCTTCCCCACCTTCTCCAACGTCCGAAATGGCTAGAATGAAGCGACCAACCGTGCGTAATCCTCCTCCGTCGCATGCAGTCGCACAACCGCCGGCGCAACCGCCTAGCCCACCGCCCGTCACCACCGCTGCTGCTGCCGTACGAACTCCTGTCTTTTCGCGAAGACAACCGGCGCGGAGAGGAAAGAGAGTCCCTGTTACAAAAAAGCTAAAGGGTGATACTTCAACCCTTCTCATCGATGAAGACTCTTCGTCTCCTCTGCCGTCGCCATCGTCGGCGCTACCACCCACTCCCGCTACTGTCGCTGTTGACCCCATTCTACCAGAAGCACCCATCATTGTTCCCCCTTTGCAAATGGTTCCATCCGATGCCATTATCCCTTTCACAGACCCCTTGAAGAGAATCAGAGAAATGGTGCGATCCTCAACAGTACCAACTTCAAAGGATACCCCAACTCCATCTCTGACTACTACCAACAATGAGACACTCAAAACTTCTCAAAAGGTACTCTCCTCATCTGATAGCACACCCCCTGAGGGCCTCTTCACTTCWGATTCTGAGGAAGAAGAGGACCCTGCCTCTATGGCAGGGGAAATTTTCATGGAAAGTGAGCATGCAGTCTTGCCAATATCACGGTCATTGAAAAACCGAGGACACCTCTGTTTTTAACTGCCTCTGGGCAAGACATAGATGATGAGGATGTTATGTCTCAGTTTGCTCCTCATGACCCCATTCCCGATTTAAATGAAGAATTTTTTGGGGAAGAGGATGAAAAACCTCCTGTTGAAGTAGTGTCTAGGAAAAGACGGTTGGTAAGAACCCGTGATAACAAGAAGAAGAAGACAGTAGTTGAGGAAGAACCACCTAGAAAGAAAACCAGGTCTCAAAGGGTTGTGATGGAGTCACCCAGGAACTCTGAAACTGATGCTGCAGCATCACAGCAGCATTCCTCCAGACCCAAAAGGAAGAGGGTAGCTATGGCCCAAAGGCCAACCACCATTCCTAGGCCAACCAGACCCCACAATGGGTTTAGTTCTAAGGCTGCTGAGAAGATGCATGCTAGGTTCCAGAACCGGGTTGGCTTTCCAGATAAGGGTTTTGATAGGCAAAGCATTAGAGAGTTTGCGTTTATAAAGGAGGTGGTAGAGACCCATGGTATTGAGAAGATGTGCATGGTTCCCACTTCTTACAACTTGACTCTTATTAGAGAATTCTATGCTGAGTTGGCAGCAAATAGCACATCCAAGATAGTTATTAGGGGGATGACCTTCATGTTTAATTCAAAAGCAATCAATCGGCTTTATGGCTTAGACCCCCCTAAGAAGACTGATTACTCTAGAATGGTAAGACATGCGACTATAGAGGATTTGAATGAGGTAGCCGATGAGATAGGAAAGCCAGGGGCTGTGTGGGATGATCATTCGAATTACATGTTAAGGACTTTCAAGGCCTACAATCTTACGGCCAATGCAAATGTTTGGATTAATTTTTTGAGGCACTCCATTTCTCCCACCACGCATGACAGTTCAGTCTCGGTGGAAAGAATGTTGTTGCTTTATTGCCTAGTCATGGGTAAGTCCATTAATTTTGGAAGAGTGATAGAGAGGAGTATAAGGACATGTTCAGGAAGGAGCAGAGGGAAGATGTATTTCCCTAGTCTGATTACAAAGTTGTTGGTAGAAAATGGTGTTCCTCAATATTGTGAGGATCAAATGGTGAAAGAGCAAGGAGAGAAGTGGAAAATTGATATGAAGGCAGTTTCAAGGTTGAGAGAGAAGAAGGACAAGATGAATGGGGCTGGTGACATGCTAGGTTTGATGCAAGATATGCTTGCTCAAAATAATAGTTTGATGGATAGTTTTTTAGAGCAACGAAATGAGTTCTTTGATAGAATTGATAGGTTGAAAGGAGAGCTGGTTGAGCAGGTAAAGGCTGCTGAAAAGAAGACGAGGGGAGACATTAGGCTAGTGAAGGCTGAGTTGGAGACTAAGACTAGTGCTAAAGTGAAGAAGTTGGCCAAGAAGTTGAAGGAATTGAAGATGGAGAATGCAAGGTTGTTTGGTGAGAACACTAGACTGAAGGAGGAGTGCAAACGATTGAAGGACGGCATATCCACTTCACCTACTCCTATGGAGTAGGACAGGTTTTATCATCCCTCTTTAGTTATTTTATTTTATTTCAACTTGTTTTGTCTTTCTTGAGTCTGGGATTGTCTTTTACACCTTTTAGTTTATTTTCTTGCAAAGAACACACATGTTTATAAATGCCACATGCTTGTATAGCCAAAATAATTCTTGTAGTATTAGTTACACTTTCTAATCACTTAGTATAACTAGAACTAGCTTCTTTTGCTTGGGAGCACATTTTGATCCACCTCATATGCTTAACTAAGAGAGGATGTAGGCCCTTTGTTCTTTTCTCAAAATTTTAGCCACTTGAAGCCATTGCATAAACAGCCCCCTATATATACTTCCAATGAGGACATTGAAAAATCTAAGTWTGGGGGAGGGTACCAACATGATATTAATGATCAAAGCAATGCAAAAGAGCACAAAGTGCCAAAAGTAGAGATCAAGTTGCACAAAGTGCACAAAGCTTACATGAAAKAWTTGAGAWCTAAAACACCACAAATGTCCCATAGGGGCAGGTGTATATGCATTCAACAAAAGAGCACAAAGTGCCAAAAATTTGAAAAATTCAAAGTTGATGCATAAAAGTGAGAAAAGGCAAAGAGATAAAAATATGTGCCAAATGAGAGTAAACCAGTTACTTCAAGTCCTATTAATCTTAGACATATGATGTGTTGACCATAACAAAGAGCAAATAAAGCTAGTTTATGGTTCATGCTAATGGTTAGTTAGGACATGCTTACTTGAGATTTATGAAAGCTATATGGTACATCTTGGCATAATCAACATATGTGTATGCACTTACTGCATGTTCTTGCAAAAAATTTAAAATTTGAGTCATTTTTAGTTGTCTTTTGGTTGCTTGGGGACAAGCAACGATTTAAGTTTGGGGGTGTGATACGTACTAAGTATTTAGTACGTAAAGTACCTTTTTATTCTCTTTTAGATAGGTTATTTTGCTTTCATATCCCAACTTTGAGTCATTTTATCTCTTTTATCTGTTTTTAAGCTAAAGCGAATGTTGAACCTGTGTTTAGTGGATTTTGGTCTAAATTGATCTTGTTTTGGACAGATTGGAGCAAGCGGATGTTGTGAAAATGTGGTAGCAAGACCTGATGACTGACAGGAAGATGGAAGAGACTTGGAGAAGTTGACATGGGGATGACCTTTGAAAGCTTTCTAAAGCTTTGTTTAGCTGTATTTTGAACTGATTAGTTGATGTTTAACAAGACTTATATTAGTTCCTTTCTAATTAGTAGTTTGTAATATGTACTTTTTAGTTGTTTTTGAACTAGGAAGGGGTGAAAAGACTATTTTKCCCCCACACAATCCTTAGTATAAATAGGGGTTGTTGGGAGGAGTTTAGACATACCTCAACACCCAACTTTCACCACCTTCCTTCTTTCTCTCTATCTTTTGTTCTCTCTTCAAGTAGTTTGCATACTACTTGAAGAACAAGTCTTAATATTATAAATCTTTTGGCATTTCAAGTTCCATTTACTTGCTTTATTTAATCGCTTTATTTATATTCCGTCTTTAATTTCTTTACGCTTACTTGCATTTTATTTCCGTCATTTATTTATTACGCTTTCCGCATCTTTATTATTCCGTTATTTATATTCCGTCATTTACTTTCCGCATTTATATTATGTCTTTATTTACCGCACTTTACGTTTCTTGTCATTTACTTTTCGTCATGAGTAGCGAATTTTATTAGCTCGGGTGTATGACGAAAAGGGTGAGTTTTTAAACCAAAATATAGTCGACCCTTTCATGTAACAACGATGTTTTACTTTTTTCATTTTAAGTTTTATAAAACCAATGACACTTCTTGACGGGTTGATCACTTTGAAAGTGTTAAAGTGCCTTTGACTCTAAACTGAGCCAATGTTTGCACGTCAACTTGGATGATATGGGAAGCAGACTTGAGAGAGTTGCTAACAAAGAGATTTGTTGTCCGTATTTTCTAAGTTGTTAATTCTCGACGGGTTGATCACTCTGAAGTGTTAAAGTGGAATGGATTCAGAGATGAACCATTCAGAACACGTCAACTTGAATGATATGGGAATCCACTCGAGAGGGTGATTTTTTTAACAAAGAGATTTGTTTATCCATATACTTTGAMGACACCATTTGTCACTTTCACTGGTCTGGATACATCATAGAGATATGTGTTGAAAGCTATAATATCAGTGCATTGGTGAGTCCGAGAGGAATACCTTCAAAGTAATTGGTAAAAATAGTTGTTACTGATTGCATGCTGTAGCAATCTGTCAGCATGGTTTCATGCTGTAGCATTTTGACAGCATTGGTCGACTGGAAATAATTTTTACTTCTCACCCTAAAAGTCATACACCCTAGCTTGCTTTATATTCTGTTATCTCCTGTTTTTAGTTGTATTAACTCTGTTCTAATCAAAGTCTTCGAATTCGCCTTCTGAAATCATTTCATTAACCTTACTTTCTTTTAAACTTTTACTACGATCCCTGTGGACGATATCCGGTACTTGTACCACTTTTATTACTTGAAAGACGATATTGGGACTATTTGTATACTTGCTTTTAGTCCTGATTGTTGTTTGTGTCTGTGGTGTTTCACGACCCATCAA